AGGTTGTAAGCACTGTGTAACTGCCTCGAGGGTGCTTGACCATGTTAACACAACGTGGTGACCATCCCCCTTGCGCGGAGTGAGGTCGACCAGGAACCCCTTGCAAACTGAGGGGACGAAAAAAGCAGCGTAACAGGCCGTGTTTGTCGGTGCATGACCATCCCATACGCGTGGCGGATGATGGCCGTGCAGTAGCGACGTTTTTTCGCGAGTGCCACCCTCGGCTTGTAAAAGCCAGCCGCACCCTGTGGTTGGTGCACACACCACCCGCGGTGCGGTCTAGTAACTGCTTAACTCTACTGCCAATCAAAATTACACGCCATGGTGCGCGCTTGTGGGCGAGCCACCGACGGCACAGGGCCTCCGTCCCCCCAATCAACACGAGGAGGAGCGTAGATTCCAAGCAGGGTACGTGGAATACGGTCCCGTATTTGCACGACGAATGCGGGACGGGATAAGGCCTACTGGTGCGCTTTGGTTTGGTTAGATAGGTTTGGTGTATCGTTCGACCCAGTCATGGGTAGAACGCGCCCGGCAAGGTGAGACAGACACAAGTGGCACAACGGAGCGACGGAGCGGTGGAAATTCCTTTCCTTTCTTTTTTGTCCTATTTGTGTAGTTCTATATAGCCCTTACGATGGTGTCGGTGTCCAGGTGAACGACGCGGTGGTATTCCGTGAGCGTGTACGCGAAGAGCTTCATGAGCTCCGCCGGGCCGCAGCAGCCGCCCTTCGCAATTCTCGCCCTTGTCACCTGTTTTCTCGTTGGACGGGTTTTTTTCGTTTTTGGTCAAGGCACGGACAGAGAGTCGGTTTTGGTGAACGATTGGTGGGCGTCAAGGAGATGCTGCTTTCAAAACATGTTTACCGTGACACGGGCAGGCACACAATCACCCGGCAACACAAGGCAACAAAACTCTCCCGACGAGTGCGCGAAAGTATCTTCTCGGAGAACTTGACAACGCATGTGGTAGGTTTCACTGCTCCTGAACTGCTCCACCGTTGCCGGTTTTTAGGGCACGAGCTGGCGGAGGGAGAGAGAAACCGCCGACAGTGTGTAGCGTCGAGCCGCGCTAAGCTCCTCGGCTCACACTAGGACGTGTTAACCTATGCGTCGTTGCAAAAATGTAGAGAAAACAACGACAGCAACAACCACCGCAAGCCCCTCTGTGCCAACAATGTTGCTGTTTTTCGTACGCCCCAGACGTGTACCTCCTCAGATCTTCACACAACTGAGCTTAGCTTCGGTGTCAACGGCGGTTATGCATAAAGCTCCGATGCGGCAACAATGCTGCAAAGTAGGGTTTCATGTTCGGTCTCTTTTACATTGGCTTTATCGACAACGGGGATATCGTCGGACAGCATTACCTCAATACGGCTCACGAGCTGGAATAGCAAATACCAGAGCTCCAAACCAAAAGAATATCGCCAGTCTTGTACCCCCTTTCTTCACCCATCTCAATCCGAATCAACCTTCGAGGGACAACCTGCGTATATGCGAGGCAGGTGAATAAAAAGCGCTAGTTTAAACTTTCCTCGCCGCCAACGCTTCTCGGCATAATCCTCGACATCATAGCAGGGCTGCATGGCAAACAACCACGCCACCCGTCTCGCTCACCGGATCCTCGATCTCATCCAGGTTTAGGGGAAGCCCGGGTCTCATTACTCGGAAGCCCAATCGCCGCAGGAGGTTCTCCGTCCCGAGCTCGATCTCGTCGTGCAAGAACGCCACCAGATCGCAAAGGAACTCCGACGTCTCACAGGCCGCGTCTAGCCGGGTATCCATCGCGAGCAACCCAGGCGGCCGAAGAGAGAGACGGAGGAGATGGTAGTTGTTGGAGTCAATGTAAGTGCGGAACACAAGTACTGTATGCAAACAACAATCTACATAGTGGCGTGCGTGTTGCCGCCAGCGAGAAAGGCGGTCGGACGAAGAGAGCGAAGCCAATTGTTTCAGAGATTGCACGTCCCAACAGTATGGAAAACAAATGTGCATTAAAAACAATACAATCTATTGGTGTGGGTGGTACCGCCAGTGAGAGAGAGAGAGATTGTCCCTGGAAAAAACATTACAATCAACCATCGATTTGAATCGTGCGTAGTCGAGCAGCATTTTCTGATAAAAGTCTGCGTGGTTAAGAAGGCGTAGAAAACAGGGGCATGTGGAAATATGGGACAGCCGCGGTCGGTGAGATTCTGCAAGTGTATGTATATCAACTCGTGCGCGAACACAGGGCGAAACGGAAAGCAAGGGGGAAAACGCTGCGTAATCTTCTTTTGGTTTGGCCGTTGAGACATCTCGGAAGTCCGCCCGTTGATGCCCAAAGGGAAACAAAGGCAACGGAGCATGACGATTCAACAATCATCGCAGGTTGCCTCACGGGAGAGCACAAAGCAGGAAGGGGAAGCCAGAAAGAGCCAGTCGACTTCCTTTCCGGCAGGCAAGAGGTTTCAAGCCACCACGACGCGGTCACGAACCGACCGCTGCCGAGCTCGCAACTGTTGTGGGCGCGGCTTTGCGCGCGCCAAGAGGGGTTGTGGGTGCACATTCGAAGTGCACAACGAGCGATCGCCTCGGGACAATACCAGCGACAACAACAACAACATCAACAAAGGGGGGCAATGATTATGACGACCAGGAGGAGGACGAAGGCGATCAGGACAACGACGACGGCAGCGGCGGCGGCGGCGGCGGCGGCGGCGGCGACTACAACGACAAGCCGGGCGGCCCGCTCACCGATGGAAGCGGCAAGGACGGCAGCGCCGTCCAGGTGGTTCCCCTCCCTGGTAAGGGATATCGCGAACGCCACCGCCTTACGCCCCCCGCACACACCCCCCAACAGCTGGTCCGACTGGAGGTACGCGCTCGCAATGTGTCGGAGGGCCCCGGTGCCGCCACCCCCGTGACGCGCTCGTTCTTCCTGTTGCCGTTGGGGTTAGACGCAGTGGGTGGGGGGCTTAGAAGCTCGAGACGGACAGGCGCGAGAGACAATGACATGACGGGGTGGTGATGAGGGGTTGGACCGTAGAACGGTGGGTGAGAGAGGGTGGAAATAGTGCCAACAGCGCCACTTGTTGTCTGCTGTCGTCTTCGAGCGGTGCATAAATCGAACCCGGGCCTTTTTTGTACTGGTCCTGTTGTACTGCAGAAGCTGTTGTGAGATTGCATGCGCCAGCGGCGGGTCAGGGTACTGTAGCTGCCGCGCATCCATAACTACAGGTAGTACGCATCCATGCCGTCAAAACACTGTCTTCGGGACGGTGGCGCGCTGAACCCTCATCACAAGATCGAGAAACAGCGCTTCACCGCAGCCACTGACCTGAGGCCCGAAGCAGCCCCCGCGCGAAGCAGAAGCGATCGCGCCGCCTCTCCGACTCCACGCCCGCCAGCCCATCGACGCGTACGTGAGGATGGCCAGCGGCAGGCCGCAGAACAACATGCACGCCCGCGCGACCTTTCTGAAACTGATGCTGCTGCTGCTGCTGGCGCCACCGCCTCCGGTACTCCGGGACGACGAATTTGGTCGCCGCATGCCGGTGCTCCTATGGACCGTGAACTGCGCCGTCATTCTCGCCGCGCCGAAACACCCCGGCAGGGTATCCTGCTTTCTTCTCTCCTGCGAACCCAACGTTGTAGCGGGGCGCCTGCTGATTCGCAGAACGTCTGGGATAGCTGGATGCGAGACCGATACCCGACACAGAAAAACAAGACGAGAAAATGGAAACGTGCTGCTGCCCTCGACGCCTGTAGCAATCCGGGAACCAGCGGTGTGCCGGCCCGCTGGCTGTTCCCGCCGTAGGGGCGGTCGACACGGGTCAACGCGTTATCGAAAGGTCGGCCACCGTTTGCGGCGTGTGGTGCTGGGCTGTGTCACTCGCGCTCCGTCTGCATGTGCACTGACTTTTCCTCCAGAAGCGAAGGCAGCCCCAGCCAAGCGACTGGCACAAGCAGAAGGGCGCCCGAGCTCGCTCCTGCACGTATGCTGGCCTTGTAGCTGAGGGGACAGAAAGGTTGATGCCCTCAGCAAATCACGTTACCAACAACTTCTGTGCCTGCCGTGGCCAACAGAGTCCTTGTACAGTTGACCCTTGCCGTTTCAGCCCAGAGGCGGCCTCTACGTCCGCCTGCCTACAATAGTTTCAGAGGAAGAGCGAGGGCTCGTGGTGTGTACGGTGGGCGCGACAAGCAAGAAATACACATCGATGATGGATGTACAAAAGCACACAAGCGCACGGCAGTTTGGGACTGTCCAGCTCAACCAATCGAAACGAAGTGGAATTACTTCGGTTCCCCCGCCTTTGTGCCATCATTGTGCCATGTGCAATGTGCAATGTACAGGCGGCGGGCGAGCAGTATCTGCATGAGGGCAGCAGAAGTAGCAGCGTGTTCGTGGACGGAAGAAAGAATAGGGGGGCGGGTGGTGAGCAGTAAATGAGCAGAAGCGAGCCTTTAGGGCGATTATCATAGTAATCGCTAGCTCACCATTCGTCGTAGCAGCGTAGCAGGTGTGTGTGTGTTTTCGTCCTTGTAGAACATCTTGCGTCAGAGTAGCTTGGATATGCTGGTCAAGCACTACAGTGTGTACGCTACAGTAGATCTAACAATCGGTACACCGACGGGTAGGGCAGGTAGTTGGCCCGGGAGCATGCATTTCCGGTTTATTAGGAAGATGGGGTTTAGTTGTGTGCGCAATGCCCGTCGTGCACGCAAGGGTTGTTCGGGAGTGCTCTCGACTCTGGGCGTCCGTACGCAAACCGCCGTAGCGGACCCAGCGCATTCGGCGGAATTTTCGCCTGGCATTCCTGTTTTCCATTGCCGCAAGTTGGTCTTTGCCAACGTACCTGTATTCCCCCCTCTCAAGCAGTACAACTGTTTGTTTTGTTGTATTCACCAACGCGTAGCAAGCGTTGTCGTTGCTTAGTTGTTCAGGTCCTCCAGGGTGCACGTCGACCATGTAAATAGGCTTGAATACAGATAGCGCCCGCACTTAAGAATTTAGCAGTTAAGAAATTGAGATTCGCAAAAAATCAGAAGCTAAGAACATGAGCACCAATTGTAAGCTCGGTTAAGAACCCCACACTAAAACCTCTATAGCGGCCATTTGTAGCCCACAAGAGGATGATCAGCAAAAGAAGAAACCCAGCCTCGGCCGAAACTAGAGGTTCTTAAAGAGTCATCGGAGCTGGGAACGGAGCTCATTCGTGGGTGTAGTCACATAAGGGTTACGTGCGGGCGCCATCTGTATGCTGTATCACCCCACCCGTTTTTACTCAGATCGGAGCACACTAGACAAATATACGTACCGACGTGTTGCATCACAGTCACTCACGCTCAAGCTACATACAGGCCGAATCTCAAGAACGCCTACACCCCTAAAACAAGCTGCCAACTTCTCTTTTCGGCCACGCGCCCCCTCCACGTCTTCATCAAGATAACTATTCTTCTCACACACAGACACGCGCAGGAGAAGAACAAAAACGACAAAACCGTGTGCAACCCGGAGCGGAAATTTGGTTTGCAGATGTTTATGTCATATGCAAAGTAGGGTGTACTGCAGCACTCATGTTGCGCACGGCGCTCCGACTTGGCACTGTACTCTCAAATACGTACACTTCAGTACAAAATAGGCGCTTACGACCACGTTGCCACTGGGCACCACACTACGAACGAGGGAGGAGCCAAAAAACACGCGCGCAAAATAAATACAAAACAACCCCGTTAGACTACTGTAGGTCTTCCACGACGACCAATGCAAGCCTGGAAAGGGAGAGACAGAGAGACAAGAGAACCATCCTGGAAAGGCCCAGATTCTTTGCGCCATCCAGTTGCAAGGCGTCACCTTATTCTTCGCCGTCCAATCTCTTTGGCAGGCACGCGACACCCAGCTGCGGAGACCAAAAAAAAAAAAAAATAGCCCCCAACCCCGAATCATCGCAGAAAAAGGAAGCCCCGGGGTTGATCCTAAGAACGGTTCTTTCGCATCCACTGCTGCGCCATCTCCTCCCGCTCCATCTCCTTCGTGCGCACCGCCTTGTTGCGCTGGAAGACTGTCGAGTAACCGCCCTTCGCGTTTGGGTGAATCACCTCCACGTCACCGCTGCTGCTGCTGCTGCTGCTGCTGCTACTGCTGTTGCATGGCCAAGGACCAAGAGAAAAGCGAATGTGCAAGCAGGACGGAGAACAACGGCAGCAGCATGAAAGACGACATGCGCTATTGGCGTGCCCGGTGGGTGGTCAAAAATGTACGGCATCGCGACCCCCATCTTCGATGATCAGAATGGGGAGGCTCAGGAAATGGGCAACAAAGAAGAAGCACGCGAACAAGGCAAGAACAAGCAGCAGAACACACGCACACCGAGTCCGTTCACACCATGGTGCGTCGTTCTCAACACTCTGGCTCATCAAGCGGGTGGCATGTGGGTGTTCTACGGCAACAAGATCAAGCACAGCAGTTCAATTTAACCAAGCCGTTTGTTTAATCGCGCAACATGGTCGTGTGACAACCAAGCAGCCTCATGATTTCTTGCCGCAGCAATGGGACGAGCAAAAAGTACGAAACGAAAACGTAACCTACACGTGGCTTGCGAAGACAGCCAACCGCCTACGGCGGGGCTGCACGAATAGGGTGTCGTCCCTTGGGGATATGACGGGTCTAGCACTCCGCGTAGGCGGGAACAGCCCGAAACCAAGAGCAGGCCAAGAAAAGCGAGTGATCGTCCTCGGGAAACAACTGAGTGTAGCATCCATCCACAACGGATAACAGGACGTGCTGAGCGAAGACCAGCGCCGACTTCTAATGTGGAGAAAGCAACAACACCAACAACAACAACAACCCGCAAAGAGCGCGAGCACTGGGCATGGACGACGGACCTGGCGTCGCCGGCTCCCCCCTCTCTCGGCACGAGCATGACCGCGTCGCCCCCCTCGATCACGACCACCTCTCTGCCCTTCAGCTGCTCGCGGTCCCTCACCACCCCGATCGGAGCGAGGAGTTCTTGGTCGTACTCCACCACCATGCCTATGTAGATGATCGCGGATGCCGGAGAAGCCGTACGTGGGAACAGCAGGAGCGTACGCGTATTGCGAAGTACGCGAAAAGGCCAACGGAATGCGAGGCTTCAACAGTCAAACTTTGGAAGTCGTTTACAGCAGCATGAGAATAGTCGAGCCGAAACCGACACACGAATATCACCTTACCACCCCCACAACCACCACACCAATACCGTTGCTCTCACTCACCGTCGTGGACGCCCAGAACCCTTCCGTCCCGCATGTGCCACCAGCACCGGACGTCCTCGGAATGCGATGCTATCGCAGTCCCCCCCGCGTCCGACGCCAGCTGCGTGTGGTCCAGGTAGCAGCCGTCCTCCTCCTCCGGGAGGTAGGCAGAGAACCAGGACGAGTGGTCGTAATCCTCGTGACCGTGCGCTATCACGGGGTGGGTCGGGTCCTGGGGGGAAAAAATACGTTTTCGGGCGTCGGGGGGGGTGTACTCATAGTCGTGCATGCCGTAGTCGTTAGCCCATTGACCTCGCATCCCTACAAAGCCNATCACCAAGCGCGAAGCGCCGTGAGGTATTCGGCGAGTCGCATGAAGGGTGCGCTGCATCCTGCTAAGGGTGTTCGTGCTCACTTCCTTGCGTACGGTTGACAGCTGCGTATGACTCAATTTATTTTCTGGTGCTTTCACTTGCAGAGACAGTTGAAGGCACTGTTAGGGGTGTTAAAGCGGCGGAATTTGGGGCCAAAAAAACGTCCGGTCCATTCGGCAAAATTTGAGGGGGGCACGCGGATTTGGTTCTTTGAGAATCCCGCTGTTAATACTGAATAAACTATACATCAAGTCGATTTGTTTGTACAGGTAGCTCTGCGTCCACACAGCAGCATGGCCCTTCATGCGTTACACAAACCTGGACACAGGTCCAATAGAGGTGACTGTAGAATAGGCTTTCCAATAGCTTTCCAATAGAGATGACTGTAGAATAGGCTTTCTCTTAGAGTAAAAGGGCGGACGAACAACACCAAAAAACATGTTTTTTTGGGCTATTTGCTCCACGCCCAAGGCGACCTTTGCTCCTCTCGTGAAAGCGATTCTACAGCCCTCTACCTGGGGTTTACAGCTATACCACACAACAAACCGCATCCGAATCGCATCAGCCAACCACGAGATCTACATGTCTGAAAACTGTCCCTCCAGTGGGGCTGCAGCGCCCACACCAGCAGACCCTCCCAAAAAAAAAATCGAGGTCCGCGCCGTTCGGCAGCAGGAGGCGCGCTGGCCGAAAGCTGAATCAAAACAAAAAGAAGTTTGAAGAGAGGACGGGGCAGTGTATGGTTGCCGCGTCAGCAGAAGATAACACGCGGTGCGCTATCGAACGCGGCAGCCTCACCGTCGTAGAGAGAACGCTGAAGGAAACGAAAGAAGAGTTGGTCAAAAGTAAGAAAATTGTGGAAGAGAGCCAGGCTCAACCTCGCTGCCGCCGCCGCCGCCGCCGC